TTATGGTCATGACTGCAGAGGTAATCTGCAGGTTTTGATCCTGCTGGAAATCTGGAATCTTAATTCCATCCACTAGGAGAACAACATTATTACCCCCATAAATCGTATTTAGAGGCTTCAGCTAAAGACGGATGAGTTGGATCAAGGAAATTTATACTTTACATGGATTCTTAACTTGTAATGGTTCTTTATAATTAAATAAATAAACGCCATTAACCTGATTGTGGGATTAAAAAAAAGAAAAAAAAATTAATTCAAGTTAATTTTAAATAAAATAATTGTATTAATTTAATTTTTATAAAAATAATTATATTAAATAATTGTATCAAAATACTTATATTAAAGTAATTGCATCAAAATAATTGTGTTAAAATAATTATAGCAAAATAATTATATCAAAATAATTGCATCAAAATAATTACATTAAAATAATTGTATTAACTATAAAAAAATATGATTTGTCTCAATTGTTAAATTCTTTATTTTTAATTATGTCTAATTCAATTCAATAATTTCTACCATATGTATAGTGAAAGGCTTGCACATATTCTTTTTCAATCTATTATTTTTTCATTTTCTGTTTTGAACCATGCTTTGTATCTTCTTATATATTGATACATCTGTTGTCTTGTTACTGTTTTATAAAGTTATTAATTTTTATATTTAGATTTTTACTATTTTATAAAAAAGAATTTTATTATATTCAATATTATTAGTTTTATTATTGTATAATATAAGACATAATTTTTTATAATAAAAAATTTATAGTTAAACTGAAATAGGAAAATTTTTTCAAAAAAAAAAAAAAAAAGTTTATATATTTGAAAAAATAGAAAGAAAGCTTGAGAAAGATAAAAAAGAGTTTTAAAAATCAAAACTATTTTCTTTAAAGTTTTGAATATTTTAAAAAAAAGAATAAAAATATTGTTTTTACAAGTTTTTTTTTTAAGAAAGTATTTTTGCTTTTGACTTTGTAAGTAGATTTTTCTTATATTTATTTGCAAAAATACAAGAGATTTTTTTCAAAAAAAAAAAACAATAAAAAGATTAAAATCTTTAAATATTAATATTGTTAAAGAAAATATATAAATTTTATTATAAAGAAGTATAAAATTTTTTTGAAATGTCTGTTTTTTAGGTTGGCAAGAGGATTAGTAAAAAGTTTTTTCAAACAATATAATGTTTATAAATATATAATAGTTGAAATAATTTTTGTATTATTGCATAAAAGTATTATCTTTATATAAAATATAAGCCAATAAAAAGTAATACAGATTATATTAGCTGCTAACAGGTTATTGTGAAGCAAAACTATGTTGCTTTATAGCAGGAGTGGCGAAGCCTCCTGCTAGAAGAACTCTATCATCATTTAAGAGCTCGGATAGGTTGGATACAAGCAACGCTTGTTACGGGTTTACTCAAAATCCCCGTGATTTTAATCAAATTATTTACATATAGACGTAATTCTAAAATTATTAATATTCATAGTAGAATTTATGTTATCTATACAATGCTTCTTATTATTCATAATTAATATTATCTCGACTTTGTCATTCTCATTCTTTAATTGATTTCCAGTCATCGCGTAATTATTTTTTAGGACGTAGGTTTACTATACATTTACAAGTATGTCGCAATTAAAACAAGGATTGCTCCAAATAGTTCATGTTAACTTCAAAGACGAAAACAAAATATAAAGAAATGATGATAGAAATATAAGTTGCGAATCATTTTAAAATTTTGTCTGCTACTATTATATCATCAATTGTTTGACACGCAATTACCGCAATTACGACGGCATTGTAACCATGGAGGAACCCATTTTTCCCGCTCCTGACATATCTTTCCACCAAATTCCTAAAATTAAAGCAAGGAATAGCGAGAAGAAGGAAAGTTGAACATTGCGTGTCCACAGAGATTCTTGAGATCCTTTAAAGGCACTCCAGCAGTGCCAGAAATAACGCGTGATGTGAGAACAGCTCCCAAACCCACAATTATTTCCATGTTTTGCATCCTCATCAGCTATGTTTTTTTTTCAGGATTTGGTTGATGCATCTGAACAAATCCAACTTCAATAGTAAGTAAGACCAACGACAACCATTTAACTGATCTCAAAGAAGTTTTGAGTATGATTACAGAACAGAGCTGTCGTTAAAATTTTAAGCTGACAAGTTACTTGAAAGGTAATTGCATCCAACGTACTGATAACAAGATATATTAATGTTCTGAATCGTATATAAAGTTGTGGAATTAGCTTCCATGCATCTGTTGTAAACACCTGATTATAAAATTCCCCAAGACTCTATCGACCTGTTTCCTTGATTTAAGTACTGAGTGCATTCTGACAAAAACACAACGGTAGAAGTATAATATTGATTATCTTTATCTTCCACGACCTGAGAGCAACGATTCCAATCACCACGTCCTGTTCTAGATACACTGTGCATTAAGCTGACATACAGTACGTATTTTAAAGGTATACCAAATATTACGTGATTATCAGCCACAAAATTAGGAAACGGTTGGTAAGCAATGCAATATTAATAATTAAATCTCTATTTGCTATTTATTTTACTAATTGTTATTTTTAATTATAGTAAGTATCTTATATTATTTTGATCATCAATGACAAAGAATATCGAATTGTCATATTACATCATTGTTGATAATTCAATATTCTTTTGTCAAATTTGTTTAATTATTTTCGAAGGCGGACAGGGAGTTTGATTTTTCGACACCTACCTTTAACAATACGTATATAGTGCAA